ATCGTTCAAAATATGAATGTTCATTGGGGGTTTTTCCGGATTTTTTTCATTATTTTACCACTTTAACTAGTTGTACAAGTCATAAGAATGTATCCAACATGTTTTATAAAAGTTCAAGAAGTTATTTAACATGTTTTGGATTATTCAAGGACTTATTTGTTCCAAAAATTGTCCAAGGAGTTATTTAACATTTTTTTGAAATATCCAAGGACTTATTTGTTTCAAAAATTGTCCAAGAACTTATTTAACATATTTTGAAATGTTCAAGGACTTATTTGTTCCAAAAAATTGTTCAAGGACTTATTTAACATGTTTTGTAATGTCCAATGACTCATTTGTTTCAAAAAAAAGTCTAAGGACTTAATCATTCCAAACAAGAAAGTCCATTGGTTTTTATTGTACTTTTCCCTTAAAAGAACAACCAAATTGTTGTTCAATGAGAACACTTCTATCCTATTTATTTTTTTTCTTATTATTTTGATTTATTTTTAATATACAATCAACACATTAATTGTTAACCATTTCATTTTCTTACTTTTTTTAACTCCATTTTCATTATTTTATAAAGAAAAATTGAATCCATAAATATATAAAACTATATATAATTTTATTTACATTAATACATGCATACTTTTAATTACATGACATTGAAAAAATAAATCATCAAAATCAATATATATATATATATATGAAAATCTATTAAAATTTCTCAATCAATCAATATCTCAATATAAATATTAAAATTATATTAAAGTAATAACCAAGATGTGGTTCAATAAGAAGTTTTCAAACATGTTATTTTTATAAGTGAAATTAGAATCCACAAACAAGTATTTTGATTTACATCAATGCATATGTTCTTTTATTTACATGATGATTAAAAATGCATTATATGTTATATCAATATATATATATATATATATATATATATATATTTAAGGGAACTCACATTTAATTTTTTCATAAAGTGAACAAAAATATGTAAAATAATAACTTAATCATAGTTTTTGATGATAAACATAATGCAAAAAATTTGTATTAATGCATGTTTAAGTTCCAAAATACATATCCACATTTTTATAAACGTGTAATCATTACACTTTTTAATTAATTAAAGGGCAACTTGCATGAAAAATAAAGTATTTTAACTTGATTCCTATTTTGGGTAACGTATTTTCAAAAATTTAATTTAAATTTAATAATATATTTTTTTATAAAAATAGTAACTAAGTATTCTGTTAGAACTCAAGGATTATCGTAATTATATTTTAGATTTTTTATATTTAAAATGAGACGTTTATCTAATATTTGATATGTTTATATGTAGTTAATTAAACGAATTCAGATATTGAGCTTTAATAAGTTGTACTTATGCACAATTTACTTGTAATCTTAAATTTCAAGTAATATACATCAATAAACAATACTTCGTGCATAAAAAATGGTTTTTAATAGTATTTGTCAAATTTTTATAATATAATATAGATAATATTTAGTAGTATGTGTAATATAATAACATTTTTACTATAATATTTTATATTATATATTAGATATTTTATATATGAATATTTTATGAAATATAATATAATATATTTATATAATACTCATATGGTAAAAATGCAATGTATCGAGACACATCTCGATTTTGGTGTTTAGTTTTTTTTTCTTTTTTTATATCGATATAATATTGTTTTATGTGGTTTTGAGAATGCAATAATGTTTTTATTTAACCACAAGGGTGGTGTCTGATTGGTTTGAGCTTGGCTCCAAAGGTCAAAAGTACCAGGAGGTCACAGGTTCAAATCCAAGAAAGAATAAAAATTCCCTTGTGGCCATGGAGGTTTAAATTCGGTGACTCCGGGCTATCTGCAAAGCAGGTGGTCGCCCTGAGATTAGTCGGCTCGCATAGCAGATTGGATATCTAAGTTAATCAAAAAAACATATAAATTTAAAAAATATCATAAAATTTTGAAAAAAAAATATTAATATAAGTATCAAATTAACCTTTTTAAAAATTCTTGTTTTTAGTGTAATTTCCTTAATTTAAAAAAATTTATTATAATTTAATTTAGATTTAGTATCAAAGTAATTTAATTTAGGTTTAATAATATCATTTTTTATAAAAACAGTAATTAAGTATTCTGTTAAAACTCAAGGATTATCGTAATTATATTTTAGATTTTTTATATTTAAAATGAGACGTTTATCTAATATTTGATTATGTTTATCTGTAGTTAATTAAATGAATTCAGATATTGAGCTTTAATAAGTTGTACTTTTGTATAATTTACTTGTAATCTAAAATTTCAAGTAATATGCATCAATAAACAGCACTATGTACATAAAAAATGGTTTTTAATAATTTTGTCAAATGTTTTATAATATAGTATAGATAATATTTAGTAGTTGTGTAATATAATAGCATTTTTACTATAATATTTTATATTATATATTAGATATTTTATGAAATATAATATAATATTTAGTAGTATGTGTAATATAATAACATTTTTACTATAATATTTTATATTATATATTAGATATTTTATGAAATATAATATAATATTTAGTAGTATGTGTAATATAATAACATTTTTAGTATAATGCATGTATATTATATGTTGCATTTGTACTGCTTTATAGTATATTTAGATTGTGTTTGGTATACAGATTGGATGGAACGGGACTGGACTGGACTGGATTGGACAGGAGTAATAATTTGTCATGCGTTTGGTAAGCTAGACAGAATAGGACAAGATTGTTAAAATGATCAAATTGCCCCTAAATGTTGTTTTGATGTTATTTTGTATCATATAATGATTGTAAATGACACAAATCACCAAAATATATTTATATAATTACATCTATAATATTTATACTATTTTCTAAATTTGTATACATGATTGTAAAACAACAATTGTAAAAAACATATATAATTTAGAAAAATTCCAACACAACTATTGTAAATACGTACGTAATTTAAAAAGTGCCAACACAATAATTTTAAATAACACGTGTCATAACATAATCAAAAGTTTAAACATATGAAGACAAAAATTATCTTCATAAAACATGTCAAGTGTACCAAAAATAATCTAAACATTCCAAAGTATTCCTTTTGTTTTGGCCATATTTTAAAACTACTACTTGTCCTCATCATAAATTGATTTCACAAATTCTAGTTTCACATCATAATCCAAACTCTTCCAAAAATGATATGGGACGGTTTGTCGCCAAAGTACTTACCCATTCGAATAATTTCCATGACACCAAGTCCAAGTTGTTTCAACTCATTGCTTAAGTCATTCATTTCCGCTGTAGAATCCGATATAACTGAAACCAACATTTTCATTTGATTGGTTGCTTCATGGATTTCATTCTTGGTTTTCTCCACTAACTTGGATATATCGTTTTCTTCATAAAACAAGGTAACAAACAATAGTCAAAATTCACAATAGCATAATATATTCAAGGGATGATGAAAACATACAACATAAAAACACAATAGAATGAAATCAAAAAAACAAACACAATACGATGATCAAATCAGAAAACAAACATAGTAACCATTATTAGGTAGTAAATCAATACAATATAGTAGGTAGTAAGCATTAGGTAGGTAGTAAATCAAATACAATATAGCCCAACACAGTAACCATTATTAGGTAGTAAATCAATACAATATAGTAGGTAGTAAGCATTAGGTAGGTAGTAAATCAAATACAATATAGCCCAACACAGTAACCATTATTAGGTAGCAAATTAATAAGGGTGTGTTTGGTACAATGTCATTTCTTTCTAAAAGCAAGTTTCATCAGATAGAGAGTTTGAATTCAGTGATTTAGGAGCATAAATGTAC